GTGTTGTAAGGCTTAAGTGTTCCTTGTAACTGATGTTAGTGGGACAGTTTCAGCTACTAGTCCTTTCTTTCTTTTTTTTCTTATTGTTCTTATCCTAGGATATGCCACCAGGGGCATACTTGTAATTTTGTCTTTTTTATAAAGATTAATATAAATAGAAGACTGGCGGTTGCCAATACTGAGTTTTGCTTTTCTTTCTATCATCCGTACCTCTCTTTCTCTCTCTCTCTCTCTCTCTCTCTCTCAATCACCACAAGCAACAACACACCCCTCTCATCAGGTATGATTTGAACTCAGGTAATTCCATAAAATCCTGGGAACAAACTTGGGTGGGGAATGCCCCTCTTAAGGACTTGTTTCCTTCTGTGTATGCCCTCTCTGATTTAAAAAATGAGCCATTTTCTTCCTTTGTTACCCCTTCACCTTCCTCTTCTGGGTTTGGGTGGAATTTGGGTTTGAGAAGGGTTGTGAGAGATACAGACTTGGATAGTATCTCGAGCCTCCTTGGTATCATTGATAATGTTTTCTTGGACCCTACTAAGTTGGATTCTAGAATTTGACCCCCAACCCCACTGGCTCATTTTCTTGTGCCTCTTTTTTCAAAGTCTTAAGTCAGCCCCCTAGTCCTATTGGCCCTCCCTTCCCGGTTAAGACCCAAGACATGTTTATCCCCTTACTGGTGTGTTCTTTGTAAAGCGGAGGGGGAGACTGGTTTTCACCTATTGGTGACTTGCCAGTTTGCTAAGTCCATTTGGATGTGGGCACTATCCCTTTTTGGGTGTAGATGGAATCCTCCATCAAATTTGCAAAGCCTTTTTTCCCCTTCCTTCTTCAAATGCCGAATGAAAAGGGGAAGGACCATGTCGAGATGTTTGAGGGCTGCAGTATGTTGGGCCCTATGGGAGGAAAGGAATTCCAAAATCTTCTCTAAAGTAGAAAAAAGCAATGAAGAACTGAGAGAACTGATCCATATAAGGGTAGTACAGCGGCTGAAGCCTTCAGAGCTGTTTACAGACTTCACAATGGATGATTTGTTGAAGAAGTGGAGTGAGATTGCTAACTGCACCCAGACCAAAGCAGTCTTGTATGTATCTTGGACTCTCCCACTGGCCGGCTTTTTAAAACTTAACTTTGATGGGAGTAGTCAGGGGAATCCTGGACAATCGGGGATTGGAAGTGTGTTTAGGGATGAGAATGGGTTTGTTTCAGCCATGTTCTCTGGCCCAATTGGAGTGGGTGACTCTCTTAGGGCTGAGATCTTTGCAGTTTTGGAAGGAGTTCAAAGAGCTAAGGAGATGAATATAAGAAAACTCATCATTGAAGGGGACTCGGAGGTGGTGGTAGGGTGGCTGAATAAAGAAAATAGCAGATTATGGATGTACAGTAATGAGAGGGGGAAATTTAGGTGGCTGGTTCAAGAGATGGAAGTTAAGATCAGCTGGGTGAAAAGATCAGCTAACTCTTTTGCTGATGGGTTAGCTAAGCAAGGAGTCGAGAGGGAGTTAATGTTTTGGGCACAAGTGTAATTTTTCTTTTTTGTTTTTGGGAGTTTGAGCTCCAGTTGGAAGATAAGAAAGTTTATCTTCCTCACTGTAATTACTTTTGTGATTAAGTAATGAAATGTTGTTATTGAAAAAAAAAAAAAAAAAATTGCTTCTCTGCTGTCACTTCCCCCATTTTCGTTCAGTCCCCAGGCCAGCATCAACAGTTCTTTTGACTGGATCATGTTTTTCTTGCCCTTCTCCACCAAAAACTTGTTTTCAGTTGCAGCAATTAGAGCCTTCGTTTCCTCCTATTGCTTAAATTTGTCCTGTCATAGGATGGGAGTGTAATCATTACTGGAATGATTTGAATGCATGAAGGTGGTTTTTGCTGATGTTGCAGTTGTTTTTTCATTTAAAAACAAAAGTCCCTCGTACTTGGGGAGACAAGATTAGTTCTAAGGGAGTCTTTAGCAATTATTTTATATTTTCAATTTTCTTTTTCTAGATGAAAGGTAAAAGGTTGGTTATGTATGACGAGAATAAGATATGTCTTGCTAGGACATGACGGGTAAATGAACTTCATAGGGATAGAGACAAAGAATTTGCAGATTTCCTATTCTTGTTCTGTCTTTTCAATGTACTTCTTTCACTTTATTTTAGTGATATGCTTTTTATTCAATTTTTAAGTTTACTTTTATTTTGAGAGTAAAATTTATCTGGCTGCATCATGAGTAATGATGCCATAAAATAATGCCTTGRGCTACAGGCTCAAGTCCTGTTATGTTCTGTATTGATTGTAGTATCCAAATGAGCTTTCCCATATTCTCTATGCAGGATTTAGAGCAGTTACTGAATTTTGTTGGGGTTAAGAGTCTGGGGCCACGTCACATATTGGCAAATTTAAATGAGCTCTTGAGGACTATACAATCTCTGGAAATATAGAGTGATGTGATAATCTTCGTAGTATTAACCCCGACTGACTGCTATTAGGGTGCATATTTTACTGGAGCACCTTGATTGTAAAGCCCTGTAAGAAGTCATGCCGAATGAAAATGAAAATTGTATTTCACAAAGTGAATCATACTTCTTGATTTTACAGCTGTAAATAGGGTGACTTAAACCTTCAGATATTTTGCACTCTGTTACAAAACCTAATAATATTTGTTGTGGCAAGCTTATCATAAATTCTAATATCAAGAGAATAACAATTGGGACGTGTTATAAAATGGACACTTTTTTTTCTATGAGATTGAATGGTTTCTATATTTTATCCTCTACTAGCATGTCTATACCTCTTCTATACTTTTTACGTGCATTAATTTAGCTTCTGGTATTTATCAAATAAAGACTCCATGTGCAGCTTTGATTAAATTGAAGAAAAAAATCATATCATATATCAGACTTTTTTTTTTTTTTGAATTTAAGATGGATTGCTTTTTCAATTAATTGCATTAAAATACCAGTTTTAATGCAGCCTAATTATCAAAGATAGAAAAAAAAAAAAAAAAAGAAATAGCTGATTTGGTGAGTATCGGATTACAAACTAACAATTACCTTATCTTCCTTCCATCTTGGTAATTCAAACAAGGCTGGTTACTCTAGTGGCGAAACTTCCTTTGTTTCCATCACTAAATTTTTCCCGAGAGGATAAGCTACAACGTGCTTTCTTGCTTGTATTCAACTTCATCTCTCTGGTGCATAATCAACAGCTAGAAATGGCAACGTGAAAGTTGCCTTTCCCATTCCTGAATCCGTTTAGGTATCTTTGATTCCAAACCCGTTTACTTTTTTCAAATAAATTTAAATTAATATTTATTAATAATCAATTTAAATCCTTAATCTATATTTATTATATATTTATATATACGAATAATTATTGTATTTTCAGTAATTATTTATTGTACTTTTGTGATAAATATATTTTCAATAGTTGCGTATAAATCTATTTCTGTGTTGTTATTTAACAGAAAATTTTCAATAATTATTAGAGATTAAACCACTATTATTTAACTTTTTAAAATTAATTTATTTTACTAGTTTTATTTATTGTCTTTTTGTTATAAATTTATTTTTAGTATTTATGTATTTTATTTTCAATATTTGTTGTATTATTTGTAATTATTGTATTTATTTCATTTGTATCAATTATTTATTGTACTTTCGTAATAAATTTATTTTCAATAATTATGTACTTTCGCTACAAATTTTCAATTGTTGTTAGAGATTAAACTATTGTTATCTATTAGAGATTAGACTATTAATTTAGTTGAAATTAGGAGTGTTCACGAGTTGGTTCAGTTTTGTTACAAGTTGTTTGGCCAACCAAATTGACCTGGCCACGTTGGGTAGTTGCTCACCTGATATCGACTAACCATTGGTGCAAACTAGCCAACTTAGGTTTTATTAGTTTGAGTTGATTTTCTGTTTGGTCAATTGGTTTAAAAGAATTAAACGTAAAAAAAAAAAAAAAACTAAGTTTAAATTTAAACATTACAGTGGTATTATTAAAAAAATAAATTTATAATATAAAATATTATAGACTAAGAAATATGTGAATTTTCCCACTTTCTTGTATTAAAATAATTATATTTAAAATATAAAATATTAATATATATATGTGGTCGGGTCAGTTCGGTTTTGGTCGGTTTACAAATGACCAAACCAAAACTAACCTAACTTGGTTAGGTTGGGAAATTATTGAACCAAAGCTGATTGGAAATATTTGAAAACTGACAAACTCGGGACGAGTTGGATTAGGTTGGCCGGTTTCATCAGTTTGATGAACAACCTTAGTTGAAATTAATTATTTTTATTTTTTTATTGTAAAAAATTATTAAAAATAATTATTAATTATTTAAAATGTTAAAATATGAAACAATTGTATACTCTTATGTGTTTTTATTGTTTTGCTTTCGCTTAACAAAGCTCGTGCATTGCACGGGTCCCACTAGTTTATCATAATTGACTTCATAACTAACCTTATTTAACACACCACTTATAACATTAATTAGAGTACCAAATACCCTAAGGTCAAAACCCAAACCTGTCCTAAACCCTATAAGGTCCTAATAAATGGGTCCAATTGGGTTGGGATGGGTCAGATACCTTAAAAACATCTCAATTTGCTTTTTTCTCATTTGCCATTTTTGCAGTCAAATTCATATGTTGATTTATTCTAGATCATGTTGCATCCTTGTGGATACATTGAAGAGACATATTACTTCGTTAACATCATCCTTAGTTGAAATTTGAGACATTCATCTTGGCAAGTGCCTCACTATACCCTTTTATTAACATCATCCTCATACCCTGTCTAATTTGATTTTAACATAGTTGTTTTGTAGCATGGTAGCTATAGGCTCTAATAGACAAAGATGGCATTCAGTTCGGCAATATTGTATGTAGTCAGTTCTTTCCTTTTGAAAGTCTAATGTCATTTAAGACTACAATAAAGACATGGACTTTATAATATGGCTAGCTAAGTTTATCCTGATTGTACTATTGGTAAATGGGGTCACAAAAATCTAGAGGAGAAGTTTTGATGCGTATCTAAAGATAGTCTTTAGAACGTTATTTGCCCCCATTTGGTTTTATTGATTTTGCTATTGGGTTACTGGCAAATTCGTTCCTAGGATACAACAGAGCCTTGGGTGAGAAATGACAACCAACAAAGTTGAAGATTCTCCAAGAAACCTTTTATAAGATAGTAGCAAATTAGACTAAGAGACACATAGGTATTTTCAGTGAGAAGTGAGTGAAAACTTATGTATAAATCGGCTTGGTTTACACCCTTTTATAATTTTTGGAGAGTCATCACAAAGAGGGGAGTGTCCTTTTGAAGAGGCTCTTGGCACAGTTAAGAATTCAAATTATATAACTATTCATAGTTAGTTAATAGTTAATGACTGTTAACATTTAATAATGTCTCTAGATCACACTTGATCAAGTCATGACCGTTGGATTAATTTAAAATGTCAACAGTCACGATTCAGCCTCCGAGACCCAAACACATCCCTATCTAAAATTCAAACCACGTGTGGTTTTCTGAGTTGCTACTTATGAATTGCAAATTACAACTTGCGGTTTTACCATTTTGCAACATACAATTTGTGATTTTGTCTATTTTGCAACTTACAATTTCGCAAGATACGCAGTCTATGATTTGTGATTTCACAAGGTCCAGAATCTATGATTTGTGGTTTCGTAAAATAGTAGTCTATGGTTTCATATTGTGCCTTCGAAAACCATCTCATCGCATCAAGTGTCATCACACTAATTTTTTTTTGTCATTTCATGTGAACCAAAGTGCGAGCAAAGTGTACCTTAGGACTTGCACCAATGTACCCTTCCAGTATAGATGGATAATCACAACAATATACCAAGTTCTGAGGTCATTTTAAGGTACCATAGGACTCTCCTAATTGACTTCAAATGTTCTACACTAAGATTACTTGTAAACCTACTAAGTTTACTTACTATAATGTGATAATACATCTAATTTTATACTATTATCATATGGTGTGCTATATTATTTAAATTTTAAATGCTTAAATTTCTCAAGTATTTATTACAAAAAAAAATCTCAAGTATTTTTTCAATATATTTGATTGGTTTAATGCATAAACCCAATTATGTTTCTTAACTTTGATTTCCAAGATGGTATCTATTTCTCCTAGATCTTTTATCTTGAAAAAGGAAGATAAGTAGTTTTTGGTTTCATTTATGCTAATCATGTTAGTACCAACAATAAGCATGTCATCAATATAAAGACATACAATCACACCATAATTTTCAATAAGTTTTGAATAAATTCACATATCATCATTATTATGCTTAAATATAAAAGCTAAAATGCTAGACGAATTTGTCATGCCATTGGTTGGGTGCTTATTTAAAACTGTATAGTGATTTAACTAGTTTATGAACTTTCCTCACATTTCCAGGAAGAACAAAACCCTTTGGTTGTTCCATATAAACTTTTTCATTTAAATTATCATTTAAAAAAGTCGTTTTAATATCTATTTGATGAACAAACAAGTGATAAATGGATGCTACTGCATAGGTGTCAAAGTAATCAATTCATTCTTTTTGACTAAACCCTTTGCTACCAATCTAGCCTTAAATGTTTACATAGTTCCATCAGTGTTGTATTTTTTTTCAAAACCTCCATTTACGCTTGATTTATTTTGATCCTAGAGGCAAGTTTACTTATACCCATGTGTTGTTAGACATTATCAAATCCATTTCATCATTTATATCTTTCTTCAAATAGGCAACATCTCTAGATGTCATTGCTTCATTGTAGGTTTTTGGATAATTTTTAATGTTTAGTACAATGGGTATCTTGTTTAACACTTTTCCTCTATTAGTCTCAACTAGGAATACAATCGATTGAGTAGAAATGAAGTCAAAACCTAAAGCTATGTTTGGTTTGAAGGAAAAGGTAGGGAAAGGAAGGGAAAGGTATGAACACCTATACAAGATTTGCAAAGGTTTCCTCACCTTTCCCTACTTTTTCCTTCAAACCAAACATGCCATAAGTGTCTTTCTTTTCTTTGTCTCTGAATCCTTCTGGGTTCTATTATAGGTATTACAATTGTTTCATTTCTTCTTTTAGTTTCATTGTTACCAATAAGTCTTGGAATCAAGTTTCTCTTTTAGGTTCGCTATCATTTTCTGTGGATTTAGAATATAATTTATTTTCAAAGAATTCAGCATCTCTAGTTTCAATAATTATGGTGGATTCCAAACCTAGAAGCCTATAGGCCTTGCTATATTCTGCATATCCAACAAACATACTTTCCCTTACCCTAAGTCTAACTTAGTTCTTTTAGGGTCTAGAACTTTGTAATATGTTAACCACACCAACACTTTTAGATGTGCTAAGTTAGGTTTTCTCCTTTTTCCATAATTCATATGGACATTTATTTTAGTCCTAGAGACATTTCTATTATGTAAATGGAAGGTAGTTAGGAGCAATTTTTAGAGAACCAAACAGGGCATAGAACCAAAAAAGGGAGAGGTTCATGGGTTAGAGGTTTGACTAGGGTCAAACCAGAGGTCGAACCGTGATAACATGGCAAATACATATATATACTACGAGTCATATAAATAATTTATATAATATATTTTACAATTTTTAATATACTTAAATATGGTGATGGATGGTAAGCTTCTTAATTTTA